ACGAGCGCGAGTAAGTTTGCCTATCTCCACTGCATGTGAGAGCTATACTGACTCGACGCTTCTCTTGCAGGGCTTACGTACGACAACTGGATGGTAAGCTGTTCCCTCAGCACGTGTTATCTTGTCTCACCCCATGGTGAAGCTCGCTAGCCCGATCAGCGGCAGCGTGCAAAGTATACAGTTGATCATTAGCTAACACAGACAGCCTAACCTGTAGACGAAGGAGGGTGAAATGTGACGAGCTAAGACCGCGATGCGCAACATGCAGCAAATCCGACAGAGAGTGCTTATGGCCATCACCTAATGACCCTCCTGGAGGTGCAGCAAGCAATGCCTCTGGCTCTGTACAGTCTGACACGTCGCCGGCTCAAGATGCCTCTTCTATTGCCACTACATCACCGGCGCCTGCCAGACGAGCGATCCCACCTGAAATTGATCCTCAGCTTTGGAACGCTTCTCCCGAGCTCCTGTTTGAATCGCCATCGACTGTAATCAACTCGTTACCTTCTCCCAACTCCGCACCTCTAGCTTATTACGACCTGCTTGCTGAAGATGCCATCAACAACATCGACAAGTACAATCTCAATGTGGACCTAGACAGGAACAACTTGTCCAGACAGCAAAGTCCAGCAACCGACGCAGCAAGCTCTGATCGACACCCGCTTTCATATGAACGAACGGAGGATGCCGATCCATCGGGACACGAGCCGTGGAACTGTATCGATGTCATACCCATGTCGGACGACGAGCTTGTGCTCTTCCAACACTACGTCAATGTCATTGGTCCCATTTTGGACTTGAACGACCCTTCTAAGCAGTTCACATACACTGTTCCTTCTCTAGCGGTCCACAATGTTGGCCTTTTGAAGTCTTTGCTCGCCGTGTCAGCGCGGCACATGGCACTTCTGAACGAGCCACAGCTTCGTCGGCTCAACATACATGATCCGGAACCAGGCGCTGAAGACGGCAGGACCAGACAACTTCATAGCCCGTTAATTCAGGTGGCGACGCAGTATTACTATGAGACTCTGCACTATTTATCGAAGAATCTCTTTTATCCGTCCTACAATAAGTCCAGGGAGATAATATCAACCTCCATACTCATCAGCACATATGAGATGTGGGACTCTGAGGGCCAGTACAGTAATGGAGCCTGGGAGAGACATCTTCGTGGCATATTTTGGATACAACGCAGTCAGAACAACAACGGAGAGTCTCCGGATCCGCTCCGGAGAGCTGCCTGGTGGCAATGGATACGTCAAGACACTTGGGTTGCGTTCCGCGAAGGACGAAGGGTGCTCACTATCTGGCGGCCTACCAAGCGTTTGATGGATCTCAGTCCGGATGAACTTGCGTTGCGGATCGTGTACATATGTGGAAGATGTGTGGACTTTGCGGCAAACGAAAAGAAGTACGATCTGAACACGCGCATCGAACAAGCTGGAAAGCTCTTACAAGCGCTAGAGGACTGGCATGCGGCGCTCCCAATGTCCTTTCAACCCATCCATCGCGGCCCTCTACCTGGACCTGGCGCTCTGTTTACACCCATCTGGATCCATCCTCCTTCGTATGCAGCTGCCATGCAAACATTTCACTTTGCGCGAATCATCGTTCTCATCAATCAGCCATCGATGGGAGGTGTGGACGAGTTCAGAATTCGACAGCGCACTCTGGACGAAAGTGTAGACATGATCTGCGGCATCGCCATAACGCATCAAGGCAGAGATATCGCGAGCGCCATGGTCAACTTCAAGTCTATCTATGCTGGTAAGCTTTATCAAACGCACGTCGTTCAACACAATGCTTACATTTTCTAGCGGGTCTATGCGTTCAGAACCCTGTCAAACAAACCGCTATCTTGCATCTTCTCGAGCAAACACTTGACATAACCAAGTTTCCACCCAAGACATTACTCACTGATCTCACCAGCTATTGGCGAGCCGAATCATAACCTTCGATATCGTGCCGAATGCAGCTCAAGTCCGACCTTCCTCCATGAGTGCATATCAATTTCGTCATCGCGGCAATGCGGCATCTGTCGGACCGCAGGAAAACAGACTTTCAGCCGCATGTTCAGCCGCACTTGCCTTGACTCCACTGCGATGCAGGTGTGGTTCCGATGAGTTGGTCGCATGACTCGCATCCGGGTCAAGATCAGGAAAGCATGACAAGGTCAAAGTGTCACGTTGCGAGGCAGAAGTCGGAGGTTGTAGCGGAGCAGACTCTTATTCAAGCTCGCCTTCCCCACAGACCCCACACGGAGATGTATGTTCGCCGTCGTGCAATTCCCTGCAGAGATGGAGTAGAAGCGGGGTACATGTTGGAGGGCCGATCGCCTCTCTGGGATGGTTGGGCCTCGTTACGAGGCACATCGGCTAAGGCCCGTCGGGCGGTTCCATCGTGCCCGCCGCGTCGCTCGCAACTCCGTCAAGGCCATCCACAGCTGCTCGCGACGAGCACCAATGACAGTCCTCAAACTCCGCGGCTTTCCCGAATCAATAAGCCGCGGGGACATGATAATAGCTTCAGTTCCGAGACGGTTCCGACATGGTGAATTGAATGCGCTCGAATTCTCCCAACACTACATAATAATACGATAGAACATCAAAGACATCATCGATATACATCATTCTACAGCCATCATGCCAGTCAGCAAAGATAATCGTACGCTCGCCATACTCAATGCCGCTGCCTCAGGCAACTACGGCGTCATGGCCGCAATCGCGTACGACACCTTCTACACGTATCAATCACGATGCTAATTGGACTGCAGCTACAACGTTGAGCAACTCACAGCTCTCGTTCGCGCAGCCGAGTCAAGAAAATCGCCCCTCATTATCCAACTCTTCCCGTCGACCCTCAAACAACTACCCCTCCTCGCGCATGCCGCAGCGCACGCCGTGAAGACCGCGACAGTACCTCTCTCCCTACACATCGACCACGCGCAAGATGTCGAGCACATTCGGGAAATCATCGCGACACTCCCTGTCGATTCAGTTATGGTGGACATGTCACATTATGACGAGGCTGAGAATCTAGAGAAGACGAGGATATTGACCAAAGAATGCCAAGACAAGGGTATCGCAGTAGAAGCAGAGAGCGGACGGATAAATGGTGGTGAGGACGGTATTGCTGATACGGGGGACCTTGAAGGTATGTCATACCAAATTCTTATAATTTAGAGATGAAGAGTAAATACTGACTTTGCCAGCGCTCTTCACATCCCCCGAAGACGTCGACAACTTCATCGCCGCGGGCGTCGATATCCTCGCTCCCTCAATCGGCAACGTCCACGGCGATTACGGCCCAGCCGGACCGAAAGAAGGACAACTACACTACGACCGCCTCGAAGCGATCGACAAGCAAATTAATAAGCGCGTTCTCGTCGCATTACACGGTACCAATGATTTCCCGCCTGAGGTCATGCAACGGTGCATACGATCTGGTGCTGTTAAGCTGAATGTGAATAAGTTGTTGCTGGAGCCCGGCAACGAGGTTTTGAGAAAGAACGCGCCAACGACGCCGCTGGCGAAGTTGATTGACATGCAAATGGATGTTATACAGGAGGCGACGGAGAGGTGGATGGATATTTGTGGGAGCAGTGGGAAGGGCGTTAAGGCGCCGTAGGGTGGTTACGTTGGATTTCAGTCGAATTGATCTTAGCCATGGATCACATGATACCTTCGCATCTTTATCAGACCACAAAGCCTGTAGTATGGCGTAAGCTGCTGCGACTTATACCTGAGCTTTACTGCTGAGTGTAGAAGCAAGTTGTGCAAAGCCAAGCCAAGCCCGGTGCGAGCAGATCTCTTTTCTTCTCTCAACAGAGAAGAGTCTGCGCCTTTAAATGATTCTGTATGCTATTGTTTCGTGGAGGCCACTGGCCTCGATCTGTGGTTCTTTTTTATAGGATACGGCCTACAGCATTGTAGTGTTGTAAAAACAAAAGCGTCCACACCGAACACATGCATCAACGACAATTATCCTTAATTACTTTCCAAGGTAATACATCACTTAACGTCTATTCTTTCCTCTGTCATTGAAGTTCCTCGCAAGCCCCAGTCCATCATCCAGCAACAGCGCGCAACCACCACGCCGCCGTCCCTCCCGTCCGCAAAAAAATCGCCAACGTCCCAAAAAACACTCAACTTCTTCCCACGCATCACCTAACCATCTAAATAACGCAGAGATTGGCAAAAGAAAGGTCTTGCCCGGAATCGAACCGGGGTTGCCGGAAGACACTGATTTTGAGATCAGAATCCGGAGTGATAACCGCTACCTATATGGTGATTAGCGGGGGCAAGCTGGAAGTGGGAATCTGTGAAGACGTACACTACAAAACCGATGGCAATTTGGAAATTACAACATTTATAATGAGTCTAGTAGGCCCTGTACGCGGCAGTGGACGGTGAACAGAAAGATTGGTTGAGAAATTTGATGTGTGGGTGTTTGAGTGTGATGTGGGGCTGGCTGATGAGGGGTAGGTTTGTTGGCCGACCCCGCCGAATCATGTTGAGTGGAAGAATTTTACGTGCGTGGATGGGAACGTTAACCCCGCCACCTCATACAAGGAAATAACTGAACAGGTCTGGAGACTACATCAAGATAGATGGTACAAAGTGAGAGATGTAACGTCGATGTAGGTCCCAGGGTGTTCAGCTTTTTCCAAGGTTGACGTGCTGCACTGCCGTTGTGATCCTCGATTATCGATGCGCTGATCACGGTCTAACTTTCTTTGATGGTGGTATCAGTATTCGATAACTTTCCGGTCCAATCCTTGCCTTCCAGCTGTATCGATCAAGTATATATGTCCAGATAACGCGACGAACGACACGTCCAAGCAGGGTGTAGAATTGGTTGAGGGAATCCGGGATGGGTTTGACTCGTTTGATCCAGGTTCACTTGCTAGACTATCACATGTCATCGCGAGGGAGTCAGGGGGTATGGCGCCAGACGAAGTGTGCATAACTATGGACTCCGAACAAGACGTACCACTATGGCTACTCCCGCTGCCTAAGATCCTCCCAGCTACTATTGCGTCTCCGATACTGATGCAGTTGAACCGTTTCTCTTGTGTCTAGCGTCCCTACATCATTACCTCCTTCTCCTTGACCACGACGCGCCTTGCTCGGCACCACAACATCCATCTCCCAACTCATACGTTCATCAATGCGACTCCACCGTCTCTCAGCCCACTCCATCTGCTTCTCCACATGCGTCGTCGCTTCATCAGCGAGCGCGTGGTCTTCGAAGAGGAACGCGAGTTCTTCCAAAGTGCGGCCGTAGGTTTCGGGAAACATGAAGTACTGTGCAGATGTATCAGTTGATGCATCCCATTCCAAGAATATGTACAGGGCAAACCCCCGCGGAAGTGAAGATGACTTACGATGAAGACGATCTCAAACCCCAGCCAAGCGCAATACATAATCAGCCACTTTCCCTGAACGTGCTTCAACCCAATGGGGTTAAGTATCGTGGTCGTGAAAACCGCCGTCCGGCTAAAGAACTGAAAGATAGTAATCCCCTTCGTCCGCTGCGCAAATGGGAACAACTCGACCAAAAAAGCTGCGACTCCATTAGCATTCTTCTCACCATCAAACACGCTCGCACTGACTTACTGTAGGTCAACGCATTATACCCAATATTATAACACATCTGATACAAAAAGATGATCGCAATCGTCAGCCTCGCAGGTTCAATCCTCTTCGTAGCCGTATATCGCTGCATCGCCACCGTCCACGCGACATAACAACACAACAGACTACTAGCGCAGATGAGATACATTTTCCTGCGCGGAAACCGCCTCACCAATAGCGAGATACACACCGCATTCACCAGATTCCAGCTATTGAGCCCGACATTCACTTTCCCGACAAAGCCAGGGTCGTCGTACCCGATCATGTTGAGCAGCTGGTTGAGGTAGTAGCTTAATAATGTGTTTCCAGACCATTGGGTGAAGAGGCCGAGGAAAGAACCGATTATCACGCGCTTGCGTAGACCGGGGACGGCGATCATTTCGCGCCAGGAGCGTTTGGAATGTTCGAGTTCGATGCGGATGGTGTGTTCGATTTGGGCCATTTCTGCGGCGGCGAAGGGCGAGGTTGTGGCGCCTTCGGCGTGGTAGGTTATTAGTGTGGCGTAGGCTTCTTCGCGGCGGTCTTTGGAGATGAGGAAGCGTGGGGATTCGGGGATCATGCTGGGGAGGTTAGCTTAGTGAGATTTTGGAAGCAGTGGGAATGAGGCGGGTACAAGATGAAGACGATTTGGAGTAATGATGGGCCGGCCTGGAGTAGTGAAGGTATGCGCCAGGCCCAGTCGTCTTTCAGGCTTTGGGTCCCATATGATACGCCAGCTGCTATGAGCGAGCCTACGAACCAGAGTGCGTTGAAGAGAGATGTCATGATAGGTCGTTCCTTTGGATATGCAAGCTCGCCCATGAGTGATGAACCTGCGATGATGCAGAAGGGTATGCCGAAACCGAGGATGAAGCGCGCGCCGACGTACATGCCAGCTACAACGTGTTAGCATAAGCTTCATCTGATGATTGAACGTTCAGTCCTACCGCTAATGGAGAAGGCTTGTACTACAGATCCTACGACCATGATCCAAGAGCCTAGGAAGATTGCCCATCGTCGGCCAAATCTATCGTTCACGTACGGCACCAGTGGAAGAGCGCAGATTGCGCCAAGGTTGTATGCTGAAGACATGATACCGAGAAGCGCCCCTTGTGGGTTATTGAAGTCTACGTTGTCAGCAACGGCATGATGTGGCCGAAACCTCGACTTACAGAGCCGCCATGTTGGCGCGATTTGCACTGCGTTGATCATCTGTGAATCGAATCCAGAAGTCATCTCAATCCCAATACACGTCGGCAGCAAGAGTGCATACAGCCTCCTCAAATTCCGCTTTCTGTACCAAGGTATCTGGTCCTGTTCAACGATGCGCGTCAATATCGGTTCCGCCTGCCTCGCAGCCGCCGCAGCGCCAACAGGCGCCATCTTTGGTATCACACTTCAGACTGCAGTTCCAGCAGAAGTCGAGGGAATGTCACTAGAAAGATAAACGAAGCAGTGGCGGCTAGTAGTGATGGGCGTCCGGGGCGTGCGGACATGCCCATTAGTTCTATATACCCCAGATTTGTGCGGCGCATCATGGCTCGTATCATCAAACTGCATGCAGGTGAGAAAGCGAAACCGGAAGGGCTGTGGTAGAGTTGTGCTGGGGTAGGAGTGCATTGACCTTTGCCCCGCACCCGGGCGATGTTGGTGGTCATATACGAGGTCCAGTAACGAATCAAGGATCGTCCTTAAAGTTGTGGTACGCGGATAGAGTAGTACGCCACGCAGATTCGCTTTTGTGTCGCTGCTCGTATGACTGTGGGCATGAAACACACACGCACCTGCGTAATGTTTGTTCGGCGCTATGCGACAAAGGAATCTGCAAGTCGGAGCCAAACGACGTGCGCATGATACACGATGACATCTCATACTCGATGTAAGTTTCCTCAACCCGAGGACATGCCAAGAGGGGTAAAGTACCCAGTAAGAATTTGATTAGCGATACCAACTCGACGGCCAGCATGTTCCAGAATGGTCAGCACGGCACCGCATCCGGAGGACGAACCTTCGGCTCCATGGCATTGGATATACAAGCAGGATATAATGAGCCGATTGCGGGAGATGGACAACAGTGGGCCGTGCGCGGTATGTCTTATGGTAAGCGATGCGGTGTAAGTAAGCGATGGTGTCTGACGGACTACTCCAGATGCTGTGAACGTATCGTAAACTCAGCGCTGCCTCTGACCGGCTGTTGCACTGACGCAGTGTAGGCGACCGGTGAATAACTGACTGTATTGGAGGATAAAGTTTAAATCGTATGTATTCACAAGAGCTCTTTCGGACACGAACGCGATGTCCAACTCTAGGCGAAGGAAGGCTGCAACTTTCCCGCAATCCTTTCTGATATGCGCTCTGGCAGTAAGCTCTCATACATGTGATCTGTCCACTCACAACAGATTCTTCGTGTATACGCCGGGTCGATAATCTCCTCGATGCCGAACGCGTTCGCAGTACGAACTGGGTTCATCAATCGCTTGTACTCGTTTTCCAATTCTGTATAACGCCTGTCGCGCGCTTCTTTGCCCTCTTTCCTCTCAATCTCCTTGAGTTCAAACGAATGTCCAACTTCAATGCCACCCTCGAGTGGTAAGGAGCCCCACACGCCGGACGGCCAAGCGACGCGCATGCGTGGGTCGCGGCAGTCTAGCATGATGCCGCCTGCTACGCCGTAGACGCGTCGCACAATGACGTTGAAGATGGGCATGGTCGTGCTGTAATAGGTCGCAGCGAGAGTGACGCCGTGCCGCATCGTTGCAGTGCGCTCTGCAACGGTTCCTATCGCGTAGCCTGGAACGTCGACGAATTGGACGAGTGGGAGGTTGAATACGTCTAGGAACTTTAGCATGCGTGTAATCTTCTGCGAACCCAATGCATCCAGCGCGCCGGCATTCTGCTCGCAGTTGAGAGAGACTATGCCGACCGGTTTGCCTGTGAAACGCGCAAGGCCTACTATGGCCGTAGTACCCCAAAGGGCTCCAATCTCGAAGAATGAGCCTTGGTCGACAACTTCGGTAATGATGGCCCGCGGGTTGTACATGCGGTTCTTAGAACGCGGTATGATAGATCGGAGGTTTTTGGACATTCGGTCGATTGGGTCAGAGCAGTCGATTGCTGGAGGCAGCTTCGTACCGCAGTCGGGCAGGTAGCTCAAAACCGTGCGTATCTGTTCAAAGCAGCCCGCCTCGTCCGGCGCCAGGTTATCGATTGTGCCATTGGTGCAATGCATTGCGGGCCCACCAAGATCTGTAAAGGAAAGACCCTCCTCGAATGTCGCGTTCTTGACAACACTGGGACCAGCGTTGAACAAAGATCCAATATCTGCAGCCATGACCGAGAAGTGGCAGGCCACAACACGAGCTGCTCCTAGACCAATCGCCGGGCCTACCACGGCGCCAAGATTCGGTATTCCCACGTTGAGTTGCTGTACGACTTGGGCGAAGGAGGGTAGCGGAGGGACGTAGGAGAAGCCTGTGGAGCGAATGGTCGTGACGGAACCGCCACCTGATGAGCCATCGACGAGTTTGACGATGGGAAGCTTCAACGCGATTGCGAGCTTCTCCATATATATCTGCAGTCGTCAGTACTAGCATGGATCAATGCAATGAATCGAACTCACGGTCTTCTCCATAAGCGCGCCATCAGCGTGTCCAGCGCGTATGGAGAAGTCATCGGCCGTGAACACAATCTTTCGACCGCGTAATCGTCCGAAGCCTACCCGCCGTCAGTACATCTTCCCAATGCCGTCCATAGTACATACCCTGCACGTTGTTCGAAGGCACGTAGTCTTCTGGTTCTTCTTTCACCGGCCCTAACTGCTTCCACTTGACTGTCCCACTCACGCTGCCCACCTCCTGGAAGCTCCCCGGATCAAGCAGCTGCTCGACTCTTTCGCGCACCCATAGTTTCCCTGCCTGCTTCTGCCTCACGTAGCCCCTATTGTTCTTGTCTGGCGTCGCGGCACTTTTGCGCAGAGTCGCGATCTGCCCAAGGATGTCTGAGTAATCAGCGGGCAGATCTGCGTCTGCTCCCTTTCGTCGTCGTCGCTTGGGCGTGTTGGGCGCGATGTGGGAGCTGACCTGGGCGAGTCGGTCTTTGGCGGTTTCTGATGACGTCGACGCGTCTTTGGGCGAGGGCTTTGGCCCGGGCTCGTCACCAGCCATGACTGTTGATGAAGTATGATTGAGGGTGTTTCCGAGCTCCAGTGATGGAGCGACAACGAAATCGTCACATCTCGATGATGCGGACCAAGATGGGATGGTTGTGTTAGAATGTTGGGGTAGAGCTGGGGAACCGAGGCATCTTCAAGCTCCCCGCGCTTGCCCTCCTCCATCGCACTCCACCAGAACGCGACCATGTCATTGTGGATGAATTGAATGTTCAACAAGCGTCCTGCTTTAACATTCGACCCAAATCGCATTCCAGCTCTCAAAAAGCCTCCTTGACGACGGACAACGTGATCTCGCCTTACCTAGCCCAACGATTCGTTCACTCGAGTCATTCCAGTGATGTTATAGTGGCATAGGTACCTAGTTATATCCACGAATGTACTGCTTGACCGATCCATACTGCTGGCTGGACTCCAATATGACGCGACCTCCACAAAGACCCATCAAGCGACTTCTTATCGCGAATAGGTCAGTAGCCAAGTAGTGTTCTGGGGAGCGTGGTTAACTGTCTGTAGGGGAGAGATAGCAACACGAATAATCTCTTCAGCCCGAGAACTTGACATTGAGACGTTTGCAATCTACGTGTCAGGGGACGACTCGCATGCCGTCCGAGCAAACCATGCGATCAAGCTGTCATCAGCTCCATCATTCATGAGTATTCATGATCTTGTCGGCATCGTTAAGAAGCACCAAATCGATGCTGTACATCCAGGATACGGCTTTCTATCAGAGTCGGAAGAATTCTCGAAGAGAATCTGGGAAGAAACCGGCGCAGTAGTTGTCGGCCCTGGGTGGGGCATTTTGAGTAATACTGGAGATAAACTCAAGGCGAGAGAGCTTGCTCAACAATGTAAGACAAAAGGCGTGTTAAGGTTGCGAAATTACTGATGTATAGAACAGGTCACGTCCCAGTGTCTCCAGCACTCCAGCATCCGACTAATAAGGTTGAAGACGTCCAACGCTTCGCATCCGAAGTAGGCCTTCCGATCATGGTCAAAGCAGTAGATGGAGGCGGTGGCCGCGGTATCCGTCTCATCCGCAGCGAAGACCAGCTTGCATCCTCGGTGAAGAGAGCAGTCGAAGAAAGCCCGTCCAAGCAAATTTTTGCAGAAAAGGCTGCAGTCGATGGCTTCCGACATATCGAAGTACAAATAATTGGGAACGGTACTGGAAACGTGACGCATCTATGGGAACGCGAATGCAGCATTCAGAGAAGATACCAGAAGATCGTTGAGCTAGCACCCAGTGTGGTGTCTGACAGAGACTTGATCGCACAGGTCATCCAAAATGCTCTGACAATGGCGAAACATGTAGGTACTAATGCTGATCGCCATTCTGTCTCGCTAATATATGTATAGATACACTACTTCTCCCTCGGCACCTTTGAGTTTCTCGTGAATCCATCGACGAAAGAGTACTACTTTTTGGAGGTTAACCCTCGCTTACAAGTCGAGCACACGATTACGGAGTCCATCTCCATGACTGATATCGTCAAGGCACAGCTATTACTCTCTCAGGGTGCTTCTTTGAATGACTGCGGCCTACCAACCGCGGAAAGAAACCCGAAAGTTCCTCCTCCAGCGCGTTCGATTCAGCTGCGTATCACAGCGGAGAATGTTCAAAGTGACTGGTCATTGTCAATCGGCAAGATCACATCTTCACAGTTTCCGTCGGGCAACGGCATTCGAGTTGACACACATCTCATCAGCGGCCGACCCGCCGTGGTATCCGCAGATTTCGACAGTCTGATCGCAAAGGTCATCGTTACAGCTTCGTCGTGGAAAGATGCCGTTCGCAAAGCCCAGCGAGCTCTAGATGATACACGAATCGCTGGAGTGAAGACAAACCTCGACATGTTAAAAGCTATCGTTGCGCACCCAGACTTCCTAAACGGACAATGCGACACGCAATGGCTAGAAAGCAAACAAACCGAGCTGCTCCAATCAAGCCAAACTATCGCTTCAGCTACCCCAAACACCCTAAACTCAGACATCGCGCCATCCTCCTCACCAGCCTCAGTCTCAACAGCTAACACACTCTTCCGAAAAGGCGACGCTTGGTCCATTTCCATCTCCACTCCCACCACAAAAGCTGGCGAGAAACCACCACCCCACCACCTCGAACTAACACGCGTCCTGCGAAACGACTTTCCTACCTCCCTTAGTGCAGAACTCCTCTTCACTACGCCTTCAACAGCTTTGTCTAGCATGCCCCAAACAACACCCTACACCATAACCCTCTCTTCAACCTCCGCCAGTGCATCGGCCGCAACGTCGCACCACAGGCGAGGGAACCAGTCCGATCCATCGCATATTAGCATCCCATTCCCGGGAAAACTGGTAGAAGTGTTGGTCGACGAGGGTGACGTGGTGAAGGAAGGGGACGTTATGTGTGTAGTCCAACAAATGAAAATGGAACTAGAAGTACGCAGTCCACGTAGTGGACGCGTGACGTGGGTTACGGAAGCGGAGGATGGGGAGGATGTAGCCGAGGGGGTGTTGGCTGCTATCGTCGAAAGCTCTCAAGAAACGCGTCTTTGAAATCATGATTCATTCGTTCGTTCGTCTCTTATATCATCGCAATATCTACATCCCATCCCATGCCGTCCTCCTCAGTGACGCGTATCTTACATAGTCTCACACTTCACAGTAGTATAAACATTGTCCTTCGTCGCCCGACTATACGGGCACACCTGCCTCGCCTTATACACAACCTTCTCCAGATCCTCCTTCGCCAACCCGCGTACCTTAACGAGAAGCTGGACGCGCAGACCCATGTCGAGGTCTTTCATGCTGCCGACGAGTTCGACGGTGGATTCTACGATCGAGTCTTCGGGGGTGGAGGGCATCTTTACGCCGAGGGAGGGGGCGACGGCGTTCATGGCGGATTGGACTAGTGGGGTTAGTTGAGGTGGTTCAAGAGGGTTGGTATGGGATTGGGAGGGGATGGAGACGTACAGCATGCGCCGTAGCCGGCTGCGAAGAGTTCCTCGGGGTTGGTCTTTCCGGCGTCGCCGGGGCCGCCGAGGGCTTTGGCCATTGTTAGGTCGACCTTTAGGTTCTCGCCGTCTACATGTCTGGTGGGTGTTAGTACCTTTCCTCGGACTTTCAATGGCATCGTTCATCATACCCTGTGCGTGCGCCGACTACGTGCGCCTTTGCCGAGTAAAGCTTCGGTGCCGTCTCGGTGTTCAAGAAGCGACGGCACGGTGCCGCCATGGCATTCCGCTGCGAGACGCGAACCGCATTGCGGAGCATTGGTGTGAAGGTCCTGCTCGCCATTGTGTACGTATTGAGGTTTGTGTGAGGGTGATGAGCGGATCGAATTTGTAGATGTCCGAGACGCAAGATTGAAAGGACCAGGGCTAGATTGAGCGATTTACCTAAGCTCTACGAAAAGAAATCTGAAGCTATGACAGCTGTGACGTCCACGCGGCGATCTCGCGGCGCTCAAAGTCATGACGTTTGCATCCAGCCAGCTTGGTGTGATCTAGCGCAAGGCACTCCCGCCGCTAGTGACGCGAGATCTGGGGAGATCGCGCATCGCTGTGAGCCGCGTATATAGGTAAGGGGTTGCAAGCATGCTATTCCATCTACGCAGAATAAGTGAGGGATTTGAGAAAGCATTTATGACTTTGATATACTAGTTTCGAACCAAGGCCAGTCTTGCCGCATAAGGTGGTAGTGCCCCGGAACGCAGCGGAATAAGGATGAGTAAACACCGCAAAGTGAGAGAGGGAAGCCAACAATCGCCCGAGTTTCGGCATCAGATTGATAGTCGGCCGTTTTTGCTACGCGATTGATCAGCAAGGCTGTCATCACAGCTTTCTCGCCTTGACACTCATCCCGACACCCTTCATCGTACACTGGAACCAACCGCCGATCTCCGGCTCGCCGTTCAGCTCAACGTCACATTCCATTGCCAATCGAGCCAACGTCTTGATGACGAAAAGCCTCGCAAGATGCTGTCCAGGACAGCTCCTACTTCCGCCCCCGAACCCCATCCACATACTGTCCATTCTGCCAATCTCCCTCATCTTTTCCTCGCTGCCACCGGATAGCCATCTATCTGGGTCAAAATCATGGGGATTCGTGAAGACCTTGGGGTCAAAGTGCGAAGCCCAGAGGTTAGTCCCGACCGTAGTACCTGGTGGAAGGTAGGTATTGCATAATGTAGTTCCTGAGGCAGGTACGAGGCGAGGAATATACCATCCGAGCGTTGGCCAGATCCTCATACTTTCTTTCATGACGGCAAGGAATAGCGGTACCTTCTGAATAATCGCGGAGTACTTGGTATGCTTTGTGATACCCTGACTCTCCATGTATTTGCGTAAGCGGTTGAGGATGGCTGGCGACTTGTACGTATGGTATATGACCGAAGAAAGTGTAAACATGAGTGTATCGTGTCCGGCGCCGAAATTGGTAAGTGCGATTGAGAGAACCCAAGAAGGATGGAAACGCGCCTCTTTGTCGTGATGAAGGCGCATCAAAGTAGCCAGCATATCCGTCTCTTCAATGCCGTCCCCTTGTTGCTCCGATGTCTCCACATCTGTGCCTTGATCATGAAAGAGGCCTGGACGGTCCCCTGGAAACTTGACACCCCTCGTGCTTTCCAATGCTTTCAATCTTTGCATGATGTTTGGAGCAGAAAAGCTGAAGACGGGCCAGACTTTCGGTAGTCTAACACCCAGGAGTAAGCTAGCTGGTAGGACGAGCAACATGCCGACTTTCGGTATCGCATGCATCAGCTTTACGAAACCTGGGAAGATACCAATAACAGTGAAGCACTGCCATAACGCATCACTGGCATCTGCGTTCCCTTCGTCACTGCCTTTCTCCGTGTATCCTGGTCTCTTGCCAAGAGTGAACTGGCTCATAGACTCCAAGGCGAATATATGGGTCCATTCCGCAAGATCTACCTCTTTCCCTTCAAACCCTTTCAGTCTGCCAACGAACTGATCGATGTAGACATCAAGTAACCCCTCATGCTTTTCTAACCCTGCAATGCTATAGGCCGGCCCGATAGCTCTTCTTTGCCTGCGATACTTCTCCATGTTGGTTTCTGTCAGCATATCGAGAACCTCCTCGGCGGGTTTCCGGCTTTTGTCAGGTGCGCCAGCTATGCGGTACCAATCCCCTTTCGTGAACGACGTCGCTGCTCCATAAACGGTTTTGATGGCGTCTTCGTCACACACTAGGACTTGGTCGGGAGCTATGCGCACAATAGGTCCGTATCGCGCGTGTAGCTTGGGGAAGTGGACGTGCGATTGTCCTTTTCGGACGTGCCATGCGAGCCATAGTTTACTGAAGCGTGCGAAGAAGGGACCAGGAACGTTGCGTAACGGGTGGAAGAAGACTCTGTAAGTCGTTATAGAGACAAAGTATGCTAGTAACAGAGATTGCACCAAAGAGGCAGCAGAGAACATCTTTGCGTTCTACGAGCCCATAGTGTAGCACGATATCCGCGGGGAGGTTGCGACACTATATAGAGCTTGATAAGCATTAACGTAAGCTTCAGGACACCCACGCGATCCTTGTTGATGGACGAAAATCTTCCATAATTACCAAGCAATTGTTGGAATACTGCCGGCGGAACCTCGCGATGGTAAGGCTGATGCTTGACGCTGGGCGCCTTGCGCAATTGCTCGCCTTACGCGGGGCCTGGAAATGACGACGCGAGCTGCGACGTGCAACGTACTCTTATCGATCGTCACCTACTGTCCTAACTTGGCTGGGCGTAATTATTGTCATTGGAGCTGCCGTGGCTCTAGAACGACGTTGACGATGTGGTCCGAAGTTCGGACTGTTCACTGCACTGAGATGTTGCTCCCAAGGTCGGGCGTAACCCGTATCCCGCTGTGAGACCTTTCCTCTTTTGGAATGGCGCCACCGACAGTCACTGGAACGCGCCTTCCCACCCGCACGAAGGATGCATCCTGATCAAACTTTGCTTCGATGCTGATACTCATAATCTCCATTAGTGACCACAGGAAAGCTTCAAAGCCGTTCAACTTAGTGCCGCGAAAGCGCCGTGAGGCAACGCCGCCTCAGCCTTTCACTGGAATTCCCGTGCTTCCCTGCGAACTCACTAGAATCATACACATGTGCAGAAAACAGCTTATCTACTACCATGCGAAGGTCTCATCACTGCGATGAGTACCAGGCGCATAAACGCTGGACCGACGTGGCGAACACTGAGTGGGCGGGGTAGGCTGCGTTGCTCTCCGTTGTTACACAGCATGGAAGCCTGGGCAGGTATCACCAGCAGCTCGTCCCGCCGCTATCATCCATACTCATGATAACCTTTTTACCTCCTTGAAAGTAAAATCACCGAACTGAATTCCCACGTTCTTGTCGTTGATGAGAAAACGTCACTCCAATGGCACGAAAGAAGAGTTCCAAACCTGCTTCATCAGCATTCACATGTACTTCTTGTACAAAAGCATTCGCCAGTGCCATAGCCTTATCAGATCATTCTAGGTCTAAGCATGCGGTACCTACCACTGCGAGTGACAGCACTTCTACTCTGGAGGTGATCAATGCTCCAGGCACAGTTTCTTCGAAGCACGCCGAGTTGGCAGCCTCTCGTGTCGGGATAGCAACGACAATGGCTTGGACTACTCCCGCGACAGACCCTGAGTCTTCATGTCATATAAGGATACCTTCGTGGTCAAATGCCCAGGATTTATCCCCCACGCCGCGACCATCCAAACAAATTACATTCATCAAGGAGCGCACTCAACAGAGAACCACACCACGATCAAAAGCTTCCAAACCACAAGTTGTCAGACCGCAAGTTCCTAAACCACAAGTCCCCAACCCAAAAGCTGCTAGCCCAAAAGCTCCCCAACCGAAGCCCATCGCCCCAAAAGCGCAAACCCCCAAAACACACCCGGTCCCAGATTGGACCATCATCTCCGATAGCAAACAACCTGCAGCACTTACCGCACTCATCCTACACTGCCATTCCCGACCACTTCTCACAACCAACGAATACAAATTCGGTACAAAACTATCTATCCCTTACAAAACAACTTCAAAGCGCTCAGCCATATCCCTAGACTGCGAGATGGTCGGCGTCGCACCCAAAGACACATCAGCCTTAGCCCGCATCTCAGTAATCGACTACCTCTCCAACGAAATACTCATCGATACGCTCGTCCAACCAGTCGAGCCCGTCACAGACTGGCGGACGAAATACAGTGGGATCACGAGAGGGGCTATGACGACTGCGGTGTTGCAGGGGGAAGCCCTCAGAGGATCCGCCGAAGCACGCGCGGAGCTGTTCAAGTACGTTGACAGCGACACTATCCTTGTCGGACATGCTTTACAGCATGACCTGTTAGCCCTGGGTCTTCGACATGACCGCATCGTTGATTCAGCAATCCTAGACGCTGAGGCTGTGGGAAAAGGTGTGAAAAGGCGGTGGGGTCTCAAAGACCTAGCCAGCCAATTGCTCGACATTAAGATCCAGAGTAGTGACAAAGTGGGACATGATTCTGTTGAGGATGCGTTTGCAGCTAGGGAGGTAGTATTGCGGT